ACGGGGTGAGTGTCTTGGTTGCCTTCCTCCCCCCCCCCCGCTCTGCTCCTGCTCTCGCTTGTGGAAAACATACTGCCTGGTGGCGGCCTGCAAAAACCCTACAAAATGTCCCCTGGTGGGAATCGAGGCCCACATTTGTTTTGCTGACCCTTCCCCATTTCCGCGATGGCCGGCCTGCCTGCCCGCCAGTCAGTTTCCCCTTCTGGGCTGGGAGAAGTGCACAGCGTTGCCTGTATTGCAGGCTCTTGGTTGACTGATCACCTTTCTCCCCCCCCATCTTTTCAGGATTTTTAAAAACTTGCCGCTTTAGAGGCAGTGCAAAGGCAAACTCTGGGAGGTGCGCACGAGGTGAGTGTCTCGGTTGCCTTCCTCCCCCCCTGTTCTGCTTTTTTTTTTTGCCCTTTCCTCAACAGCCTTGAACACGTGCTGAGGAGGAGCAGGGATGTCTGGCCCTTTTTCTCTCTACTGCCACTGCTGCCACCAGCGGTTGAAACAACCGTTGCCGCCCCCCTCCTCTGACCACGCTGCCGCCACCTGTTTTCCACAAGCAGTACTTGCGGCTTTTCTGCAGTGCAGATCCAAGGGCTGCTTCATTCCCACTCGGCCTCTCGCAGGACCCAGGCTGCCTGCACTGGTGGGAAACGTGGCGCTTTTTTTTCTGCAGCGGTGGAATGCGGATGTCGCTTGGTGACAACTCTGCGAGATGCGCCTTTGCAGCGGGTTTCCCCTTCTGTTAGTTATCGGAGGTTTAAAAGGCAAGCTGCTCCCAGACCGTAAAAGTAGAGGGTCCAAACAGCGAGAGTGACGCAGCTCTTCGGCTCTCTGCTTCAGTCTCAAAGGTGGGGACCAGAGATTACTTTGCCCGAAAGGAAGGGTGACTTGGTGGCGATGCAGGTTTGTCTCCCTTCCTTTGGAGAGGGAGAAAAGCGTCGCTGTCTTCCTTCGTGCAGGTGCAAATGTAACTTAAGAACGGTAGCAGACTTCCGGTTTTGGGTTGCAGTGGGTGCAGGCACACAAAGAGATGCTCTCTCTTCATTGCCTGCTTTTCCTCTGCCGGTAGACCCTTAATCGGGTTGAAAAGTCACCCTGGAGGGGTGACTACTGATGAGGAGGACTCTCGTTGATTGCGGGGGGAGGAGGCAGCTCCTTCCGCGGTCCGAGGCAGCTCCTCAGGGCCGATGGAGAAAAGATCGGCCAGTAACATGGCTGATCATTTAGCTGCTCTAGCCGAAAGTCAAAAGAACATCTAAGCGTTAAGAAACCATCGTGGATGATCCCGGTGAGACTTTTCCCTCTTTCTCTTTGCCTAACTACTCTCCTGTTAAAAGCCTTTTGGAATTACTTCCCTGCTTTGAAAGAGCTGCCTTTGTTTATCTGGGAAGAGCTTTCCATAACAAAGGAAAAAAGTTCTTATTGACTATTTTTATTTTTGGTTACTTGGGGGCCCTGGAAAAATCCTTATCATAAAACTTTATTATTATATCTTCTAAGCTGGAGAATATTGTTTTCCTATGTCTTGGACTTATTTTTTTAAAGGGATAAATCTTTATTGTTTGAAAAAAAAACTCTATGAGAAGCTGGAAAAGAGATTCCATGGCTCTTTGACTTTGCTAATCTCATTCTTGGTGTCTGGAAGAGACTTTCATAGTTTACTGAGGACGTCTTGTGGAGAAATTTAAAACTGCAACTGCTTCTTGTTTGTATTGGTCCAACAGCTATTACTGGTGGGGGTGGATACTGACTAAATGTTTTGGAATATAGCCTCCACTAAAAGATAACAGGATTGGATTTAGTTACTACTGAAATGGAGAAACCATATTCACAACTCAACTGTAAACTCATACTGGAAAAAATTTATGAAGCTACTGAGGAAATATGTTCCCAAATAAGTGAGAGAACTGCAGAAATAATAAACAGAAATTCTACTGTGAACTTACAAACTGACCTTCAGACTCTATTTGATCATTCTACAGACCAAAAAGCAATAGAAGAGGAATTAATTTACATACAACCTATGGAGACTTTGGATGACCAAAAAATGATTGTAACTAAACTATCTACAATTGCAAAACTAACAGAAATGGACTTGA